TGAAATCCATGACGTAGAGTTTGAATAAATGGTGCTCCAGCATGTTGTTTTAATCGTTCAACTAAGTTACGCATTTCATGTACTTTTTTCGAACCGTGAACAAAAACAAATGCTGTATGACAATATTTATGACATATCATTTGATTCGATTCATAAGCTGGTAGATAACTATAATATGGATCCATTTTACATAATGTATGGTTTGCTCGGGCTTGCCATAATAGAATATTTAAACCTGTTTCATCAAAATTAGCACCCAGAAAATTATTTTGACGCATAAGATTATGAGCTTGCTGAAGAAATGGATATGCTCGATAATTCCATAATACATGAGCATGTACATATGGTGTTGTACGATTTTGAAAGTCAAGTTTAAATTTTTTTAAAAAGCTTCGATAATTAGTAGGATCATCTGGATGACGAGGCGCAAGTGGTAATGGATATGGCCATCGATGAAGAAGATCAAAAAGAGTATCAACATTCCAATTTACTAATGTATCAGCTTCTAGATAAATTCCATAATCGACTTGGCTATGTACGATAACATAAAATTTACAAAAATAAATTGAATTACCACAATCTTTTTGACTTAAACGTCGTTGAATTACACGTGGATATTTTTTGATGTCTATATTGAGATCAGTATCAATTCCATAGACTATAATAGGACGTGTTGAAAAATAATGAATAGAATCAAATACATTCGTTAGAAGTGCGAGATATTTTGGATTATTATTACAAAATGTAACAAATGCTTCGCTTGGTGTACTATTTAATGGTAAATTAGAAATAGATGATACAGGAAAATTAAGATCTGGAGTATGAATGATGTTGGCATTTTTAAAAACATAGGCAGATAATAAAAGAATGAGACATAAAATAATCCATAATAATGTTTTACGTGAATAATACTGAAAAGTCATATTATAATATAATTATACTAATGATCAACATTTTTGAAAAAAAATAGTTGTTAAAATTATAAATACATATAAAAACTATACTACATTTGTTCTTTAATATATGTTGACGACGAAGGAAGTCTTAAGAGTATCGCTTTTACTTTAACTTTACCTTGAAAAAGTAGTAAAAATATGAATTCCTATATCTCTTACATAAATCTTTGATAGATACGTTTAGAAACGACAGCTTTACTATATATTGACAGAAGATTTTCTCCTATCTCGAATAGTTTATGTGACTTATTATCTCGCAAAAATTCGTGAGTATAATGAAATAATAATGAAAAAGAAGTACTCTTATTAAATAGTTGTCAATTACCTGTATATTACAGATGTGTACCATGGTTTCATATAAAAATCATATATTATTTGCAAGAGGAGAAATTTTTTTATTAACTAACAGCAAAGATTTCTTTTCGAAAAAGATCGATATATTTTATCATTCTATAATAGAAAACAAAGTATTTCTTCTCTTGTCACGTATAACCATATGTTACATATGCTTAAAGTCGTAAGGATAATTCAAAATATCAAAAGGTAGCAAGTTTTCTGTCGAAGTGATCTATATAAAGATACATATTAGCTCTTATGTTCACTCAATTTCATCGGTTGATCTAACTAATTCTATAAGCAAACTATACACTTTCGATGGTTGACCTTTAATTCTAAAACAGATTGTATATAAATAGGATTCGTATTGTCTACTGTAATTTGAAAACATAGTAGTTTTCTGTAGATTACAATGCAATCGATTCTTTTTCAATGAAATATAGTAAATTTTTTGTAATTATCATAAATGCTAATGAATTTTAATAAAAATCAAAATATCCATTCTAGAGTCTCTCAGAAATCATAGCATTCGCTTTTTTCCTCTTGATGAAAACCTATATTTTCATAACGTTGCTATTAACATAAATATGTATACAATAAAAAGACTTTATGATTTATAATTACTTGTTTTACTTCTTTCAATGTATGAGAATATTCCGTAGTTAGTTATATGAATCTTTTCACTGGAATCAGATAATAAATACATTACTATCTTGTATTGAATTAATTTGAACATCCGTTGAAGATTAATGGAAATAGAATCTTTAATAAGTACAAAAATAAGAAAACTCCTTTAAAAACTAACTGATATTAATAATCATTGTATTTAGAGAATAAATGTGCCAATCATTTTAAATGTTATAAAATTTTATGACAATACATCATTATACTTACTGAAGCAGTTCCATTTTCAGTTTTGCCTACGTAAAATATCTGAAATGACTTGCTAAGTCTTTCAATGGCTATCTTTTGTTCAAAACATTGATGCTCAACTACAAGTAATTTTATTCAAACCAAAACAAAAAAATCGTCTGAACACCTATATTGTTGCAGGCAATTCTTTGTATATTGAAATAAACCTAATTATGCTTTAGATTGTTTGTCAAATAATTATTTATTAGATTTTATAATTACCACTACTGTAAAAGATGTTAAATATTTTGCTGAATTCCTAGAATTCTGTTTCATTCTTGTCCATTTTTATTATAAAGGTATTTCGACGTACGTCATTTGTTTTTATTATTTTACTTGTTACTTATACAAATATATTTTTTATTATGAAGCTATTTCTCACAATTATTAAGGTGAAAACGTTTCACATAATAAATAAATAAATATATTTAATCAATAACTACATTAAGAATTCATTTTATATCAACATTCTTTTCATATAATTACACCTTGCATAGCGTGAATATCTTCGTTATTATAAAAGATGAAACAATCAATCATATAAATAAAATTATCTAATTATGAGTTAATATCTTCTTATTTAAATTAACAATTTGTTGTTCAGTCTATAATATTATCAATAAATTGTTTAATAAAATCAAAAGATAGTAATTTTATTGAGTACATATATTAATATTTTATCTAAATTTTATTAATTGAAAAATAATAGTAATGATTTTGATTCAAAGAAAAAGTATTTTTTTCAAAGATATATTTTATGTTAAGGTTGATGTGTTGTGCTTTCCATATATACAAATAACAACATACACCTATAATTACATAATAATATTAGATTTTAATAAAACATCTCTTTACTTATTTATTTTTCATTAGTAAACTTTGACCTTATCGGCTTTGATTTTTATGATGAACTACGAAAAATGGATTTTTGAAATTCATTTCGGTGCATGGTTTTTTCATTTTACAGATCTAAATAAAATCAAAACAATGCTCATTAAGTAACAGATTGTGAAGACATTTTTAAAACTTTCACTTCTTATAAAAGATATCAATCATTTTGTTATAAATATAAAAACATAGTTGTTAAAATTATTTATCAAATTTCTTTCAAAAGAATAAGCCATATTAGAATTCATTCTATTCTATAAAGCTTAAAAGAACTATTGAAACATTTTTCATACGGCATAGTTTTGTTAACGTACGTCAGTGTGACGTATACTTTTAAATCATGTTTTATATATTAAATTTATACTGTCATAGTTACTGACAAAGATTAAAGACTAACTAAAGGAGAACAAGAAGATAAAACTATATGATTTTCGAACATAAATATTGTATTAAAGAAGAAAAAAATGATGTAACCATAAGAAAAAAAAAGCGGTTGATCGTCAAAAAATTAAGAAGAAAAATATTGAAAATAGAAGTTTTTTAATAAGTAATGTCTCTAAACAAAATTTAATTTGATCTATTTTGATTGATAAGTAATATTGAATAGTAAAGAACTAGAATAAATATATAAATACATTTTATACAAGTCCAGATCACTCATCACGACCTCAGCTATTACATATTTATTAGATGAAAATCAAAAAAGTTCAAGAGTTATTTCATTTATTCAGTAACGAAAACGAAAACCTCTGCCTATATTAGATAAACAAATTTTAAACTAAATAAATCCACTGAAAATAGAAATTATTGGATGTGTACAGTTAAAGGAAACTCAGCTGAAATTAATATAAATAGTAATCATAAGTTTATTAAAATGATCATCGATCATAATCATCTGGTTGAAGATGGAAAAAATCAATGCTTTGGTTGTTTCGTGAAAAAACAGAACAACATACAATTAAAGAAACGATTCTAATTCCTTATACATCGAAGAAGGCACGAAGACGTTATTATCAAGCAAACGTGAAATGAGTAAGAAGATTTTTTTTGTTAAATCTGCTTTTATTGATTTATATAACACTCTAAAGCGTTTAATTACACAGTAGTGAGCGAGAAGATATTATTTTACATGTTTTCTATCACAATACATATGCAGTATTAAAAATAAAGAATGATTTAATGTTTAACATGTTCGATATTTTTCTTTCATTATTTTCCCCGTTTGTCTTTTTCTTTTCGTCTTTTTCTCTTTTCTTCTTTTTTCTTTCTCGACTTCCTACAACACAAAAAAATTATGTCAATGCACGGAACCCAAAAGCGACCTCTAAATATTCATCAAAATATTAGAACTAAAAATTATGATTCTAAAAATGAGTTTAGTTTAACAACGGTTTCAAAACTAATAATCATATTTATAACCAATAGAACATTTTAAAAAGAAATCACTTTATTGTAATATGATTGGCTGCATCATTTTATGCAAATACAGCTCAAGCAAGAGAGGAAGGTGATTGGCGAATGCAGTTTATTCATTAATGATGAGTCACATCTTGTTCGACTATTTGCTGTTTCCTAGTAGCCTTTATAGTTAAATCTATTTTTTTTCTTTTTGATAATATAAATATACTACGAACTGAGTGTTTACGACGAAACTAAAAGACATATCAATAGTTAGATTTTAGTACTAAACATTCTGTCATGTCGTATCTCCATAAATGTAAAATGAGATTCATACACTAAAACTAGCTAACGAAATATGTTCTTTCTATTTTCTATACAAAATCTATTTACTATTTCTGTCTTTTTTGAAAATCTTCCTATAAAAAATTATATTAAAATTTCGATTTATATTTTTGTTCAATTGAATCTTTTGTAGGTTATAGCAACAACTTAACATTCTTCTAAAAAATGTCTTCAACTCACGCACATACAACTGGTGATAATATTGCTGAACAAGCAATAGACAAACGTGATGATGATATTGCTGAACTGATATATGAAAACGGTTCGATTGGTAAGATAATGTTTTATTTATGAAGGATACATGATAATCTAGCATTAGTTCGAAGTCTCCTTAACCATATCGCTCTCATTTCCATAGATAAATAGCAACCAACAAAGAATTAAAATTGTTTTTTGTCCAGTAATATGCATTATTCAGCAATATCTAAATAAGAAAACCATATGATTATTAGAGTAACATGTACAAAATTCACTTCGTAGTATTTTAGTAATATATTTGACTGAAAAATAACTTAATACTTTTATTAAACAAAAATTCTATTAGAAGTCAGTTAGAAATATATTGAACGGTATATTTCAATTTTTTCTATAGAAAGATATAGAAAAATATTGACTTCTTATAACACTCTGTTAAGAAACATGTGTTAAATATATTACAATAGTCAGGTTTAAAAAGTAATAAGATTTCAAAACATAATAAACGTATCTGACGCGAGTTATTTATCTGATTTTGAAAAACTTACCATCCAGATAATGTTTTTATAGCCAGCTATTTATTTATTAAATCTTGAGAAACTTCGTTGATCATTCTCTTTAAATATAATTTGAGATAAAATATTTGAACATTAATTCATGTTAAAGCATTCGAGTAAGCTCTTTAAAATGGTTATTCAGATTTTTACATCCCACTGTCACATTATAAACAAGTTTGTAGAAGAAAGAGCAACATTCTATAACAAATAAAGAAAATCCAATAAAAAAATAATGTATGTTTCACAGAGAGTATTTAGTAAAAACGAAATATAATATTCTAAGCAAATAAAAATATCCAGATAGCGTTCATATATATTAGTCATCGCTGTCATTTGAGTATCACAATATTCGTTCAGAAGTTAACGGGAAATACCAAAACACTCCTCAAAAGCTTCACTATTATATTTTAGATGCATATTGAATATAGAAAAGCTAATTTAACTTTCAAAATACATCAAGATATTATAACAAAATAATTTTTCAACATGTTTTTTTGATACAGATGTTACTTTGTGTATTCTGCTCACAAAAGTTTTCGTGTTTTATGAATTATTTGATAGAATAGAATAAAACAGAAATAATAATACAGTAGAAAACTGGAATATCATCACTATGATCTAGTCAAGTAACTAGTAACAGAAGCTTATTAAAAACTGTTTATATAGATTGCGTAAACACATATCAATATTATATGTATCATTATTAATATGACTAACAAAATTCTATTAGTTGCTTACTACAAAACAATATTTATAAAATAGGTTACGGAGAATTTTGACTTTTTTTTCATCCAATAATCAAAAAAAAATCAAAATACAAAAAAGATAAATGTTATAATATGGATGTACATAAAGGAACTTTTTGCAAAACAGATGAATAAAAATTCAACGGTTATATCATTTAGAATAGTCAGATATGTGAAACTGAACTTTTAAAGAAAATTTACGATTCGATGTTTACAAGATTGTAATTATATACTTTAGCTGTCGACAATGACTTAATTATAAAAGTGATTAGTTTTGAAAAGTTGCTCTATATGCATCATTATAGTGCCATCTACCGATTTTTTTCATCTCTTCTTATTACACTCATAACTAACGATTAAAAATTTAGGCTATGACGATTTTGAACTATAAAGTAATTTAAGGTTACCGTATATTCTGCATAATAGTTCTTTGTAAGGACTCTCTTACGATCTTCCATCCTGAAGATATGAAGAAGAAAACGCGTAAGGAAGAAAAAGTACGAACACGATTTTGATTTTTTGATTTATATTACCGTTTGCCCTTATTCTATTAAGTTACTAATAGAATTCGATACTATTAGTTTGGGATTTTTCTCTCTTTTTCATTATAATCTTTTCTTTCCTATATTTTTATGACTTAAATATGATGCTTAGATAAGTTAGGAGTTGAAATTTGTGGATGTAAAAGATGAATTTAATTCTCATATCTGTATCCATTCGACAATAAAGAGCTAAATATTAAATTCGACTTTGATTTTTGCATTTCTAATTATTCTCGTAAATCCAGAAAATCTTTAAACTCTACAGAGCTCCGTTATCTCTAATACTTAAAAGCGTTATTTATCTATGATGTATACATGAGACAAAACTTTGAATAGGGCTTTAGGAATTGTCAACAGACCATCTGATTTATTTCTACTGTAATTAGTATGTTAATTTTTTGTTTTATTCTGTCAATATTATCACTCTTGAAACAAAAAAAAAGTATATGTTACAAGATATGTTTCTAGTTGTTTACGGATAGTAAAGGATACTGCAGACTCTTTCATGTAAAAATTTATGTAACTTAAAGATGTAATAAAAAAATATTATTAATTTGACCTTTGCAAGCGAGCAAATACTGTATATGTATTTTAATGAAATTGTAGGAGTTATTTCACATTAAAATTATTTTAGCAAGATGAAATACATGAAACTTCATTAAAATACATAAGCTTGATGCC